TTGTAGATTGCATTATGTGTCTTTCAGTTAAAAACCATTACATTCTTCTTCAAGACTCCGCAATGTTGTTATTAAACAGATGGTAAATGATCCTCATGAAAACTCAAATGCAACAATATCATAATATGCAAACAAGCATAACACATTACACCCAAAACTAGTCCCAAAACAGTAATACACCAGTTTGAAGATTAGTAATAATTGGTAATAATTATTAGAAATAATTGCTTAAGAAATCCAGAGGCAGCGCAGAGAATTTCATGGTACATATCAAGTTAGATGTTTCCAGTCTTTCCATACCTTCCTTTCAACAAAAAGAAAAAAAAAAAAAAAAGAAAAAAAAATTAAAAAAAACCCCCTCAACCAAATGAAACCACAATGTTCCAATCATTTCATTTGCAGATTCACTTTCTGAGATTTTCAAGATTTGTGGGGGCTGCTGCTCTCAAAACTGAGAAAAAAGGAAAAAAGTTGAGTATGTTCAAGAGCCAGAACAGCACCTGCACCTACCCCCTGTGATTACCCTAAAACCAGTACCTCATGGCTTTAAGGATAACTGATTAAGACCAATACCACTGCTGTGTAAGAAGGGGCATGACAAAGGTTTCTCGGAATCTGCCTTAGATTGAGACAGCCAGCCCCAGCCTGTCCCCCTGGGCATCCACCAGGAAAGCATGCAGAGCCCTAAGCAGGCCAAGCTGTACATACAAGCAGAATACATAAACGAGTTCACCTATTTCATCCATCACCCAGACAGTTAAAATCCTCCGCTGGAGCTGCTCATTACAGCACAGCACTCTGCTGGTAAGAAAGCAGCAGAGACCCCGGTCCGCACCGGGATATATGAGAAGGGCAAAAGCCCCGAGGGCCCAGGCTGCGCCGCCGCTCGTCCCCGTCGGCGCCGAGGGGCTGCTCGGGGCTCCAGGCGGGGTGCGGGGCTGGGGTACTCACCGGGCATGCTGGGCAGCCGGGGGCCGGCCGGGCCGGGCCGGGCAGGGCTCGGTGCGCGGCGCCCACCGCTCCGGCCGCTCACCTGCGGGCGGGAGGGCCGCTAAACCGCGCGATGGGATTAACCTCCTTCCTGCTGGAGGCAGCGGCAGGTGAATTGCATTCGCAGGGACTCCTGCGCAGCAGCAGAGAAAAGGCATTAGCGGCGGAGAGCATGGCGGGGGGGCTGGTGCGAGCCACCCCGCCCCCGCTCCGGGCGCCGGCTTTGCCGCGAGAGGGGCGCGCTCCTGCCGCCCGCTCCCGGCCCGCAGCGCTCCGCTCCCACCGGGCACGGCCCGGAGCTCGGCCCGGCGCCTCTCCCGGCACGGGCACGGCCCGGAGCTCGGCCCGGAGCTCGGCCCGGCACCGCAGTCCTACACGGGCCCGCAGCTGCCCGCGCCGGGCGCGGCTCCTCCGGCAGACGCGGCGCTCCCGCTCCATTGGCCGCCCCGCGGCTGCGCCCACCCCGGGATGGGAGAGACCCTCGCTCCCCTCCCTGCTGTTCCCTCCCGTCCCGTTCCGCCCCCTGCCCGATGCTCTGGGTGCCCTCCGGGTCTCAGCCGCTGCGACAAAGCCTCCCCAGCAGGCACACATCTCTGCAGAAACCGAGAGGAAGGGACACATGTTGGGGAGACGCTGCCGCGCAGCGCCCAGAGGAAAATACCAACATCTGTGATGGTGAAGGTGACAGAGTGTAGAAAAAGGTCTCAGAGTAGGGTGATTCCAGCGTGGCATGTGTTCACAAAGATACACGGGAGTCTACCCCATACCCCTATCTCCCTGGGGCCATCGTATCCCCTACAGATACTCAGGGTCTGATAACTTGTCACCCAGATAAGCAAGGAGATGTTTTCAGTGTCAGGAAAACTATTCAGAGGGCTGTAAATATTTTCACAAGTGCATAAATAAATGCACATTTACTTGCACAGCATGCTTTTGCCACTAGCTTAAAAGTCATGTAATTGTGATGTAATTCAGCCATATAATGTATAGTGTATTATTAATTATTCATTTTATTAAGTAATTATTATTTAATGTACATTGTATTACATACAATGTAATTGTGACATAATACAGCCATACAAGGTAATTTTAGGCTGATGTGGTTCAGACGAGGCATTTTTGTGTCAAAATGTGCTGTGAACATCAGTATCTATGTAGCAGAGGTCTGTAACTTTCAGGTAGTGTGCCACTGAGAAAAAATGCCTAGTGGTACCACTCAGCTATTTAAAATTTCATTTCCAACAATTTGCAAGAGATCTCTGTTGCCACTCGAAGCTGCAGCATTTGTTCTCTCACACCCTGGAAGAACCCTAAAGGTCTACTGGAGAAGAGGGTGTCATTGCTCTGTAGTAATGGTGAAGTGTTTAAAGGACGGGAGGATGGACATAAAACACAGAGGAAATGAAGTTTTATTTATCCCACAGAAACAAAGTTCTCAGGGACCTGTGTTCACCATTGACTTATGTAGACAAACTAGACAACATACTTATTAATAGCATGATTATTGTTGTAGATAATTTTACTGGCAGATCTATTTCAGCTGGGGGACTTGAAGACAGAAAAGTTTCTCTGTGGTAATAAAAGTGATGCCTGTATTTAGATAATAATCTGTTTTACTTGTGTGACAGCAACTTTTTTTTACAATATAGAATAAATTTTAAATATCAGAGACAGTAACACAAGCTAGAGTTCAATGTTCTAACAGCCAGTTAACCAACCTTCCACCCCCTCCTTCCTTCCTCCCCCCCTTCCTTCTAGAGCTTCCCCTACCCTAACTTCTCAATTACCTGAAATAATAATAATAAAAATAGTTAATACAATAATTATAAATTTATTTTTATCATCATTCTAGTTAAAAGGGAAATTAGCACCTAAAAGTGTTAATCTACACATTGATATATTGATATATTGGGTATATGCTGACAAATTAGACCAAAGATCTTCAGAGGGACAAACACTTGGGTACTTGGGGTTTATCCATTCAGGTTCATGGGTTTTGCTCAAATTCTCCATAATAAATCTGGTTTTGGGCTATTAATATCAACACAAGTAAAAAATTATTTTGAAAATATTATGAACAATTTAAAATACATTGTCATAGTATAGCAAAACCAAAAATGTTTCACATAGATCCTTCTCTAGACAATTAGTAAAATAAAAAAAAGAGAGAAAAAAAAATAGATAGTTAAGCTGTTTTGTTGGGGTTATTTTCCTGTAGTTTTTCTTTAGTTTGAAGCATTTCCTTCTTTTCCCTAGTGGGACATAGTTGAACATTTATACAGAAGGTATCAATCTGCATATGTCCCAGAAAGTAGCAAACAAAGCTTGGGTCATCTTAGATAAAACACAGTAGGTGTTTATTGAAATTTTGAAGAGAAACAAGCAAAATATGTATTTGCATGGTTGAACAAACTGAAGTTGTAACAGCAAAATACTTGTCATTTGATTAATCAAATCTTTATGTCTGTCTGACAAAATATATATCAGTCTGTTTTAACTCTTAACATGGAAAATTAGTGTTTTAAAAGAAACACCAAATGTCCTTGAAAACCATATTAAAGATATTTTCTCATTCATAAGTTGAAAGTGATAGCCACAAAGGTGTTAATCTGGTCAAAATGTTTCTATGTTTAAACTGATGTACATAATTATTTCTTTCAGGATCAAAAAACAAGGTTGTCTAAGCAAGCAACTGATATATATCCATTTAAAATATAATTTAGATAAATAATATTTTATTATATGAAAAAGTAATTTTTTAGTATATGTCTTACTCTCAGTGATGTAATAAACACAAAATCATAGTCACCTCCATATAAGTGGAATTGCAGTAACAAAAACCATGCTTTGCATATAAAATTAAGATAAAACCACACCAATTTCCTTATGCTTTAAAAAGTTAGTTATAATGTCTCTATTGCAGAATTATGTCAGTAAACTGCTAGTTTTGCCAACTTTAATCTGTATTTCATTCACTTGCTGGTTTTTTGATCCAGTTAGGTAAATGAAGGCAGAGAGATAGGAGAAGTCAGTTTTCGTGATAGGTTTGTCTACGTGGGGACATTGCTAGCACAGCAAGGTCAGTCAGGAATGAGGAAAAGAAGTGAAACAGTCTAGCTAGAAAATCTGTGTCAACCACACCTCCACATAGTAGAAGTTGAAAAGTCTTTGTGACTTAGATTTTAGAGATTGAAGCATCACAAACTCATTCTAAATGAATCAGACAAAGCTTTGTACCCATTTTCCCTTTTCAGACATTATGAATAATATGTGGTTTTTTTAAACCCATCTTGCTAGATTAATGCCTTCAAAGATTCCTAGAGTCATGCCTTTATTTTCAAGAAGAGAAATGAAAGTTATATGAAATTCTAGTTCCTGAGAAGAGCTAAACTCCAGTTCCATAATTAATCAATAAAATAAATAAATAAATATATTTAGCATATGTTCCTCTCTGTTTTATTTTAAACAGTGTTTTGTCAATATACATAATCTTTTCAGTATATTATAAAATTAAGAATGAATTTTCTAGCTAGAATTCCTTTCCCTTTGCTAAAATTCAGACATAAACACAAAGTAAAGGCATTCAAATTTTTAATCCTTTAGACAACAGCAATTTTTCTTTAAACATAGTAAATATTACAGAAATATACTGTAGAAGCCCAACAGTGTGAAAGGAAATGGCAAACTCCTTATTCCTATTCTATCACAGGGCTTGGTTTTTTTTTTTATTTTTGAAGCCAAAAAAAAATTATTTGGTGACTCAAATCCTCACAAACACAAATCCTTTGATTTTTAGTTTATATCAAACTTGATTTCTTTGTTGTTTACAGTAACTTCTGAGTCAAAATCTGTATCCAACCTTTATGAATGCAGGTAAGAGAGTGCAATACAATCCCTGGTTGTTTTAAGCGTATCTCTGATGACATGAAGCTCGAGGTGCAAAAGTGACATCAGGTTAGAGAGAGCAGGATTGCAACATCTCAAGAAAACATTTGATAGAGGAAGACTTTCTTCTGTCAGAATGGCAGTGTAGAATGTCACCAACCAAAGGAGCCTGTGATCAGACAGCAACTCTTCTTTCAATGGTTTACACTGCAGCCCCACCTGAAAGATAAAAATTAAACATTCAGTATTTCCACCATAGGTGTTCTTTGCCAGCTTTTCTGAGGCTCATCTGGGCCATCCAGGCTGGTTTCCACACACAGAGCCAGAATTTCCAGGCACCTCTGTGCTGGCAGAGACAATTTTTTGTCAAATTCTCATCTACTTCAGCACTAAATCAGCAGAAAACTGTTTGGGCCTTACCACGTGGTTTGAAACAAAGTTTCTTATTCTTGTAAGCAGTGTAGGCTGCTATTGATCCAACAACCAGTATCACAAAAGCAGAAATTACAGGAGATGTAACTCCAGCTATTAAACCCGAATCTGTGGAAAAAGAAAGAGAAGGTTTTTGGTTTTTTTTCAGAGGCACCTAAATGGTTTGTCTTAAGTATATTGTCTACTAAAGTGTGCCTTTACCAAATTATGAAAATAGTTTGATGAAACTACATAATTAAGCAGATGAATAAAAATTGTGTTATATTACAGCTGATGTAATAAAAATTATGTCTTAAAGCCTAATTCATTATATGTACTACTTTATAAGGTTATCATTGTTTTAATATTTCATAAAGATCAGAAATCAATTGTAGAATAATGTAAATCATTTACTATACCTGTGTTGCCTCCATGATTGAAATGATGCTCCTCTTCTCCTGGAAAAGAGGGTGAAGTTTCATCAAAGAAACATTTGTCATCCTGTTTTGAGAATTAATTCTTTACGCAGCAAAGTGTGATGTACAAAGGGCAAAAGGGGTGGCGCAACAAGACTGCAAGAGAGAGCAGCCCTTCCACTCCCCACTGACAGCTGTGCTGGCCAGGGGAATAACTGCTCAACCTCTTGACACTTCTTTTTTGGGGAAGAATGTTATCATCTAGTAGAGGGACCCTATGTAACAGGATACACCAAGCTGATGTACAGGAAGGCCAGTAGACTCCATCTCTTCTCTATTGCCAGACAATCAGATCATTTATCAGTAGTTTATGCCAAGATCTTGGTCTTGGTCCATCTATTTCAGCATGCCCCTTGCCTTTGGACATTCCTTGCTGAATTCAAACGAATAAAACCTGCAGGCTTCTGACATCTAAAAAATGTTTTAGAATATGTTTCAAGTTTTAGCTTCAGGCTCAAACCCATGGTCTTTCATGAAGGATAATTAACCTAAATTAAAACAGTGGAGTCCAGTCCTATACCTTCAGAGACAAAAAGATTACCACAAAAACAAAACCAACCAACTCCAATCTACAGGTGCTAGGAGCACATTGCAAGGGAAATAGGCAAATGTTACCTGGTGGTAAAGGCTTTCCATCAAGGAGATCTGAGTCATCAAAACCTCCTGCAAGATAAAGATTGCAGTTGCAAAATTATATACAATGGTAACCCCTTCAGCTCCCTTGTCTACTCCTTTTCTAGCATTCTAGGGAGAGGTGAGGGACCTTTGAGATCCTAGCCTCGACATGGTGGGTGGGTACATGTCTTGCACCAAACAGTCACCTACCAAAATTCACCTGAAAGCTGAAGTATTGACATGGTTGGTCTCTATGTATTCTGTTTCTGTTTTGGGCACTTGTGGGATATGTGGTTGGGCTCCCAGTAACACAAATACTTATATAATATGGACATCTTGAGTCTCAGTGATCCCTGAAGCAGAGAGTCAGTGGGTTCTTTCCAGGAAAGACTCCAGAAGGACCTGTCCACAGCTCAAGCATACCCAAAGTAAGTACAGGTACAGGGCGAAAGCCAGAAGAGATATGCCACATTATTTTATTTAAGTGTCTGGAACCAAACTCAAAAGTAATACAAGCTGCCCAGCCTCATCTGCTCTATGCCCCAGGGCCATCCCAGATGCATATCTCAAATTGATATGAGCACAGGTTTATCTCTGCCCTGTGGCTTGGTGTCAAATTTGAGCCTTTGCATAGTTCAGTGTACACACACCCAAAATGAAAACACAAACAAGATTAAATGTTAGTCTCATGCCACTTAAAATGCAGTTTCCCACATTTTGAACAAATAAAAAACTTTATGGTACCAACACTAACATTCAGAAAAAAGCTTTCTCAACTCTGAGATAGAAACAGTGATTACAAAAGGAAGATGTGGGAAAAGGATGATAAAAGCTACTACTAGAGAAATAAGAGATTAAAGTATTCAAAATGTCTGCCCTGAACAGCTGATTGCACTACATTTTCTCAATAGCAAGCAGTCTTACCAGAATTGCCATAAGTTCCTGGGCGTGGTGGAAGAGGTGGGTATAAAGGTTTTCTTGAGATGTCACCTGTTGATAATTAATATTGCTAGATGACTGAACAGGCAAAACTGGGAACTTTAAATAAAAACATTTTATACCTATTTCTAATTTGTCCTCCCATGAATTAATAAAAGGATCTTTTCAGTAGTTAAGGAGATTTAAACACTATATCAACAAATAGCTAGCTGCAAAAACTGACTTCAGGGAATATTTTCAAAAGAAGAGAAGCATTTACAAAAAAACATTGAGGGAAAATATTTTGTTTATATCTGGCTAATGCTAACATTGTTTAAAGCTGATAGCTGGGAGGCACAATGTGTCACTGTGGGTGCCAGTGGTGCAGTCAAAGCCAACAGAGAAACTGGTGTTCTAGGCTGGGCAGGAGGCAACAGGTTATCTCACTGCCATCAGCAGGTTTTAATAAGGCCTGCAGATTAGTTTCATCTAACAGATGCTGAATTTGTCTAATGCATAATGAATTTTCTGCTCTTGAACAGTGCAAAATGATCTCAGACTTCAGCTTTGATGTTGTTTAGAACTTTGTGCTAGCATTTCGCCTTAATTTTTTGCCAAAGGATTAGAAACAGATGCATTGGATAGAGTAGGAGATCTGATGACTAAAAGCAGTCTCCAAACTGCATATACAATGTTGAAGAGCTCACTCAGGTCAAAACCTGTCAAATTTAATATTTAGGGTTGCTGCTCTGTGTGTATAGATCCAGTCTTCTCTTGACACTCTTTACTCATCCAATTCAACCAGGTATTCAATTGTTCTTAAAAATGCCAGACAATGCATTTTATTCTGCATAAATCAAAATTAGGTCTAAAAAGTCCCTCTCTTCAAATCTTTCACCTTCCAAACATGCCAGATGCCCATTTGCTATGTTTTCTTCTTGCCTAGCTGCTAAATGCATTGCTTGTGTTTCTGAGCACGATTTAGGTTCTGATCCAGAAAATTACTTAGGTATATAATTAACCTCAGGTGAGTTTAGCCCACATCCAATGGATTTTAGGTAGAGTCATAAAGCTTTGCTGAATCTGACTCTGCCCAATTAATTACATTCAGCAGAGGAAGGACTTGCTCTGTTCTAGCTCTGTGTAATGAACTAAGACTCACTGTGGGACAAGAGCAGAAAACCACCAATCCCACATTTAATTTCTATCGTGGTGCTGCACTTAGTCTTCTCTAAGCATAAGAGGATATATTGCATGGCATAGCTGGTGAAAAAATAATGTCTTCAGAAATACTGATAATGAAATACATAACTTTAACCTTATTATACCATGTATGAAGGTCAATTAAGAACCTGAACTGAAAATGGATCAAAGAAATAAAAACCAATGGAAATATAATTTTCTATCCTTAGAATGAAAAGATTTGGTTTAGTTAAGATAGTGAAGCTATTCATTAATACTTTAGTCAATATATTTAACCTATCCTCTCATTACAGCATTCAATAGAAGCTTGCTGGAATGGAAGAATTATTACAGGGAGGAATAAATGAAATTATAAACATGGGAATTATTAACAAAATTAGATCCAGCTTTGTAAAATGTGGACTAATATATCATTGACACATAGGCCTGAAGTGCCACAGGGGAAGGTGGAAGTAGGAAAAGAAACCAAAATATAAAAGAACAGTCACTGTCTAAGACTGAAATGTGAGCAAACCAGACCACTACTGCTGGTTCAGAGGTTCTGTGCAATTGGCTGAGAAGTAACTTTTCTTTTGTGTGGCTGTGATTAAAGTGGAACTCTAGGCTTTGCAATACTAATTGCATTTTGTGTATCTGCAGTATTCAAGAACCTTTCTAGAGTACTTCACGTCCTTGGTATATCTCTAAACATACGAAATAAAATCTGGTGTACAAATTCCCAGCCTCAAGGATTTCATATGTCAGCACAGCGCAGTACAGTACTGTGACTACTTCTGAGGTCAGGTCTGGGTGTTATGGGAATACCTGAAAGTTAAAGGCATGTAAGCTTAACTTTTTCAAGCTTAAGCTGTATTCACCATTCACCATTTTGAAACATTTCTTCCTGAATTTCTAATATGCCATCAGCAGAGCTACAAGAAGCTCAAATATTCCATCCAGTGTGTAGTAGATAGGGACAGGCGATCGGAAGATTTTCGGGATGTGACGGAAAGAAAGACCCCCTTCCCCCTCTCCTCCTGCAGCACGTTATCCATTACCCCAAAGAATGTAACCACACCTAACCCAGTAGTTTTCCACTCCTGACTAACCCTAGAGACCCTACCAAACCCCCCCTGATGTAGCAAAATCCCCCAAGACTATTTAAACCCATGAGATAAGATAATAAAGGCTTTCGACCGTCCACCACACTGGTGCCTGCGTGTCGTTGGCCCGAGTGGTCCGGGCGAGACCGGGCTGCCGTGCTGTTCCCTGCAACCAGGTCACCATTGCCTCCCATGAAGGCAGTGTTACCTCTGATTCCTAATCTTAGACAGGCTCATTTTTGGTAGCTGGAGAAACTACGGCCATCACCTTCTTCAAGCTTCTCTCAGAGGACTGCACCCTGAGCGACCACAGCTGAATGGGCAATGTTTGCTCTCCCCAGTCACGCCTGGGGTGCTCTGCCACGGTGCAGCAAGCCCCAGATAACCTCAGCTCATGCAAGGCAGGGCATCTGGAAGCTCCCAGAGGCAGCTGGTGACCAGGTGCTGTCCCTGCTCTGCATGACGGCCTCAGGCAGAAGGGCTGCATGTACATGAATTATAATAACTCTCATGACCATAGCACCTCCTGCAGTACTGAAATACCTTTTTTACAAATTAGTCAACGTTCAGGAAGAGACTATGAAAGAAAAAAATCCCCTCATATTCAAGGAAACAAGGCAGTACTCACCCCCACCAAGAGCATCTCCTAAATGTAGGTCATTGTCTGAAAATAAATAGGAGGAAGATATAGAAAAGTGAGTTACACACAATTCTTGAGGGAAATGAAACATTATTTTCATTAGAATATGTACAACTGCATGTTTGACAAGCACCTTTTTCAAGTCGGTGCCACAAATTCAAATAACTTATCACACTTTTCTTGAAAACTCTGACTCTAACATTAGAGTCACACTAATTGACAAATAGCAGAGTATTTTCTACTCAAAATACAAAGTTTTTTCCTGTTTTAAATGATGTCAAACTAAATTTTACAGATGAATCAAGATCAATACCTCTTTAATATACAAAATTAAAATTAGCTGGTTATAATATGTAACTATACCCATTTTTAAATATACTTCTTTTGATGCTTTGTGAAGGCTGAACTAGAACAGAGACAAGACAGAGCTAAAGACTAAAGCAGGTGTTTATTAAGAGGCCTCGATGGAGACACCCTGGGCAGCACACCGCAAATGGCCACAAAAAATGGATGACCGGTCCAGTGGTCTCACACTTTTATAAGTTTTGGTCCATTAGCATATGGGAACTAATGTCCAATTACAGCTTTAGCCCATGAAGTCCCATCCTTCTTATTTTTCTCTTTTCTGTCCATCACTGTTTATGCTCTTTGGCCTGAGATCTGGATCGGCTGTCCTTGGGTCCCCAGCTAGAGAAGGAATTTTTTGTCTACCTAGTCTGTGAAGAGACGTTACTATCCCCTAATAAAAAGCCTAGACTTACACACTAAAGCAGAACAGAATCTGAAAAATATAAAAACTAAACCTGAGCTATCATAATTATTAACATTTATGTCTGTGGTTAAAATTGGTATATGTATTCTTGGCTCAAGTAGAATTTATTGAAGTACTAAAACTGAATATCCATTTCAAGAGCAAATACTAGGGAGCAATAAACCTACTTGGGGAGATATTGAATCAAATATCTATGTAAGGGTCACAATGACCCCTTCCTTCAGGCAATTATATGTACCTGTCTGAGGCTGGGAGACTGTCTGTTTTTATTTGCTTGAGCTATAAAGATTTTTAGATCGAATTAAACATCCATATGTGAAATTTACCCAGTAATTCACCAGGCCATGACCATTACCCAGCACCATACATGTGTCTCACTTTGTATCTGGTACAGAATCTTTCCATGCAACAAAAATTTGTCCATGAGCTGCAGATGGGTAAGGAGAAACTGTTTCTAACACCAGGTGTGGATATGAGTATTTGGGTGGTATTTTAAGAGGTGTATGGAATGATGGAGGATTCTGAAAGAAATACATTAGATGGATGGTATAACTCCAAGAATCCCTTTCTTGATGCACATATGTGTGGAGTGGTGCAGTGAATCAGAAGAAAAGGGATAGCAAAACCTATCTAAATTTTTGTAACCATGCTTGTTGCCACAGGCAACTAGATAGACTCTCAATTAAACAAATATTTTTTTCATTATAGATGTGTCAGAATTCCTGAAACACAGGAAAATCACCATGCAGAAATCTGATTTCTTCTGTTCTTTATACCTAGGAGGGTGGGAAGCTGCTTTTGCACACTATCTAGTCTCATCTGGGTAACATCTCAGAAGTGCTTTGATGTCACCAGGAAATCTGGCAGGAAAAAAATAAACAAATTCATAATACATTACTTGGTTTTTACTTGTCAGGAGTAGGTCCTCCCTGTGTCTGCCCAGCAGTGTTGCATTTTAAAAATACATTTACCTGTCAAAAGTTAACACTGTAAGAAGCAATAAATTGAAAATTGGATTCAATTTATTATTGACATGAAGAATTCAGGAAAAACACAAATTCTTCTCCGGAGGTTTCATATAGAGATTTGATGCAGAATTGCTCAGGTTGATATGAATGTAATAAAAATGGAAATGCATGTGTGTGTTGGGACCACAAAAACCAGCAAAATGTTAAAAGAACAGATTAAAGGTTAATGTTCCCAGCAGTAAAACTGAGGAATGTGTTGTTTCTGTCAAAAACAGCAGGCCTATGCTCTGATGACAGCAGAGATGACTTGTCAGCAGACAAAAAGCAGAAAGGCATTCTAAAACCAAAGGTTGCAGCATATCACTACTATTCTGATTGTCACCCAGAAAATAAGTCTGTGCATATAGCCTGTGAACTCTGAACAAGTAAAAAAAAAATATATAGTAGGCAGCAACCTGACCAAGGGTTCAGAGACTCTGGAGTGAGAAATATTATGAGGCAAAGGACCTCTCTATCATACCTGATTACTCCTAAAGGATATAAAAGATCTGTGGATTCTACTTGTAATTTCTGATCAAGAAGAAGCACAGAGACAGGATAAGAGCTCAGCACCTGGCAAGCTTTGTCTCCTGTTGCACATGATGCTCATCAGACCACCTAAGCACACACATCTTGGTGCTCGTGAGCATGTGGGTGTGAGGGAATGGCTGAATTAAACAGAATGCAGGAACAGTGTGAGTGGGTAAACATCAAATTATGTTGAAATTTTGTAGATAAACATTACTTTCCATTAATTTTTCCTTAACCATGAATTTGCTACACTAGGGAGATGCCTACAGGAGAGCTTCAACTCAGGCAGAGGTGCATGGGATTCCCAGAGGACACATCCTGTAACAGGCATCAGCTGAACAAAAATCTCAGTGAGCCTCACTTCTGAAGGAGACATAGAGGAAATCCTGAAGTTAGGATGAAACATTAAGCAGATGCTAGAACATATTTTTGAACATCCTGCACTTTCCAAGTCCAATAATTGATTTGTAACACTGTGATCTTGGGTTTTCTAATAAGTTTTAATAGCTTTTTTAAACTTTCTGCAATGCTCTGTAGCACTGAAAGAAACTCTGAAATAGTCTGGAAAACATGGGGTTCTTCCTGCCCAAAAATTAGTGAAGTGGATTTGGTTAGGGTAGATATTCATCTGATGTTCAGATCTCTAACAGATTTAGAAGTCCCTAAAAATAAAAATTACTTTCACCTGACTGAGGCAGCTTGAGTGAAGATATTGGCACCCTAGGCTACCTTTAAACATGACCAAGGATACAGTATTTTAGGGCACAATTCAAATAACTTGAATTGTTTACATTAGGATGGGAATAAATCCATATTTAGTGTAATATTTTAGAACAGACAGATGCTTCTAATCTAGGCCAGACACAAATTTTGTTTGCCAAATGAAGTGGGAAGGAAGAATGCAGCCATTAAAGTATACAATAGCTACTACTTTCACAAAATACTCCCCCTGTATGTTCAAAGAGGGAGCCGGAAAATTGTATGGGAAATGTCACTAATTTCATGCACCTAAAATCTTATTTCAAAATTTGTCCAGAAAAAGACCTGAAGTTGCTGGGTTTTTCTTATCTAGCATTATTTTCNCCTCTTGACACTTCTTTTTTGGGGAAGAATGTTATCATCTAGTAGAGGGACCCTATGTAACAGGATACACCAAGCTGATGTACAGGAAGGCCAGTAGACTCCATCTCTTCTCTATTGCCAGACAATCAGATCATTTATCAGTAGTTTATGCCAAGATCTTGGTCTTGGTCCATCTATTTCAGCATGCCCCTTGCCTTTGGACATTCCTTGCTGAATTCAAACGAATAAAACCTGCAGGCTTCTGACATCTAAAAAATGTTTTAGAATATGTTTCAAGTTTTAGCTTCAGGCTCAAACCCATGGTCTTTCATGAAGGATAATTAACCTAAATTAAAACAGTGGAGTCCAGTCCTATACCTTCAGAGACAAAAAGATTACCACAAAAACAAAACCAACCAACTCCAATCTACAGGTGCTAGGAGCACATTGCAAGGGAAATAGGCAAATGTTACCTGGTGGTAAAGGCTTTCCATCAAGGAGATCTGAGTCATCAAAACCTCCTGCAAGATAAAGATTGCAGTTGCAAAATTATATACAATGGTAACCCCTTCAGCTCCCTTGTCTACTCCTTTTCTAGCATTCTAGGGAGAGGTGAGGGACCTTTGAGATCCTAGCCTCGACATGGTGGGTGGGTACATGTCTTGCACCAAACAGTCACCTACCAAAATTCACCTGAAAGCTGAAGTATTGACATGGTTGGTCTCTATGTATTCTGTTTCTGTTTTGGGCACTTGTGGGATATGTGGTTGGGCTCCCAGTAACACAAATACTTATATAATATGGACATCTTGAGTCTCAGTGATCCCTGAAGCAGAGAGTCAGTGGGTTCTTTCCAGGAAAGACTCCAGAAGGACCTGTCCACAGCTCAAGCATACCCAAAGTAAGTACAGGTACAGGGCGAAAGCCAGAAGAGATATGCCACATTATTTTATTTAAGTGTCTGGAACCAAACTCAAAAGTAATACAAGCTGCCCAGCCTCATCTGCTCTATGCCCCAGGGCCATCCCAGATGCATATCTCAAATTGATATGAGCACAGGTTTATCTCTGCCCTGTGGCTTGGTGTCAAATTTGAGCCTTTGCATAGTTCAGTGTACACACACCCAAAATGAAAACACAAACAAGATTAAATGTTAGTCTCATGCCACTTAAAATGCAGTTTCCCACATTTTGAACAAATAAAAAAACTTTATGGTACCAACACTAACATTCAGAAAAAAGCTTTCTCAACTCTGAGATAGAAACAGTGATTACAAAAGGAAGATGTGGGAAAAGGATGATAAAAGCTACTACTAGAGAAATAAGAGATTAAAGTATTCAAAATGTCTGCCCTGAACAGCTGATTGCACTACATTTTCTCAATAGCAAGCAGTCTTACCAGAATTGCCATAAGTTCCTGGGCGTGGTGGAAGAGGTGGGTATAAAGGTTTTCTTGAGATGTCACCTGTTGATAATTAATATTGCTAGATGACTGAACAGGCAAAACTGGGAACTTTAAATAAAAACATTTTATACCTATTTCTAATTTGTCCTCCCATGAATTAATAAAAGGATCTTTTCAGTAGTTAAGGAGATTTAAACACTATATCAACAAATAGCTAGCTGCAAAAACTGACTTCAGGGAATATTTTCAAAAGAAGAGAAGCATTTACAAAAAAACATTGAGGGAAAATATTTTGTTTATATCTGGCTAATGCTAACATTGTTTAAAGCTGATAGCTGGGAGGCACAATGTGTCACTGTGGGTGCCAGTGGTGCAGTCAAAGCCAACAGAGAAACTGGTGTTCTAGGCTGGGCAGGAGGCAACAGGTTATCTCACTGCCATCAGCAGGTTTTAATAAGGCCTGCAGATTAGTTTCATCTAACAGATGCTGAATTTGTCTAATGCATAATGAATTTTCTGCTCTTGAACAGTGCAAAATGATCTCAGACTTCAGCTTTGATGTTGTTTAGAACTTTGTGCTAGCATTTCGCCTTAATTTTTTGCCAAAGGATTAGAAACAGATGCATTGGATAGAGTAGGAGATCTGATGACTAAAAGCAGTCTCCAAACTGCATATACAATGTTGAAGAGCTCACTCAGGTCAAAACCTGTCAAATTTAATATTTAGGGTTGCTGCTCTGTGTGTATAGATCCAGTCTTCTCTTGACACTCTTTACTCATCCAATTCAACCAGGTATTCAATTGTTCTTAAAAATGCCAGACAATGCATTTTATTCTGCATAAATCAAAATTAGGTCGAAAAAGTCCCTCTCTTCAAATCTTTCACCTTCCAAACATGCCAGATGCCCATTTGCTATGTTTTCTTCTTGCCTAGCTGCTAAATGCATTGCTTGTGTTTCTGAGCACGATTTAGGTTCTGATCCAGAAAATTACTTAGGTATATAATTAACCTCAGGTGAGTTTAGCCCACATCCAATGGATTTTAGGTAGAGTCATAAAGCTTTGCTGAATCTGACTCTGCCCAATTAATTACATTCAGCAGAGGAAGGACTTGCTCTGTTCTAGCTCTGTGTAATGAACTAAGACTCACTGTGGGACAAGAGCAGAAAACCACCAATCCCACATTTAATTTCTATCGTGGTGCTGCACTTAGTCTTCTCTAAGCATAAGAGGATATATTGCATGGCATAGCTGGTGAAAAAATAATGTCTTCAGAAATACTGATAATGAAATACATAACTTTAACCTTATTATACCATGTATGAAGGTCAATTAAGAACCTGAACTGAAAATGGATCAAAGAAATAAAAACCAATGGAAATATAATTTTCTATCCTTAGAATGAAAAGATTTGGTTTAGTTAAGATAGTGAAGCTATTCATTAATACTTTAGTCAATATATTTAACCTATCCTCTCATTACAGCATTCAATAGAAGCTTGCTGGAATGGAAGAATTATTACAGGGAGGAATAAATGAAATTATAAACATGGGAATTATTAACAAAATTAGATCCAGCTTTGTAAAATGTGGACTAATATATCATTGACACATAGGCCTGAAGTGCCACAGGGGAAGGTGGAAGTAGGAAAAGAAACCAAAATATAAAAGAACAGTCACTGTCTAAGACTGAAATGTGAGCAAACCAGACCACTACTGCTGGTTCAGAGGTTCTGTGCAATTGGCTGAGAAGTAACTTTTCTTTTGTGTGGCTGTGATTAAAGTGGAACTCTAGGCTTTGCAATACTAATTGCATTTTGTGTATCTGCAGTATTCAAGAACCTTTCTAGAGTACTTCACGTCCTTGGTATATCTCTAAACATACGAAATAAAATCTGGTGTACAAATTCCCAGCCTCAAGGATTTCATATGTCAGCACAGCGCAGTACAGTACTGTGACTACTTCTGAGGTCAGGTCTGGGTGTTATGGGAATACCTGAAAGTTAAAGGCATGTAAGCTTAACTTTTTCAAGCTTAAGCTGTATTCACCATTCACCATTTTGAAACATTTCTTCCTGAATTTCTAATATGCCATCAGCAGAGCTACAAGAAGCTCAAATATTCCATCCAGTGTGTAGTAGATAGGGACAGGCGATCGGAAGATTTTCGGGATGTGACGGAAAGAAAGACCCCCTTCCCCCTCTCCTCCTGCAGCACGTTATCCATTACCCCAAAGAATGTAACCACACCTAACCCAGTAGTTTTCCACTCCTGACTAACCCTAGAGACCCTACCAAACCCCCCCTGATGTAGCAAAATCCCCCAAGACTATTTAAACCCATGAGATAAGATAATAAAGGCTTTCGACCGTCCACCACACTGGTGCCTGCGTGTCGTTGGCCCGAGTGGTCCGGGCGAGACCGGGCTGCCGTGCTGTTCCCTGCAACCAGGTCACCATTGCCTCCCATGAAGGCAGTGTTACCTCTGATTCCTAATCTTAGACAGGCTCATTTTTGGTAGCTGGAGAAACTACGGCCATCACCTTCTTCAAGCTTCTCTCAGAGGACTGCACCCTGAGCGACCACAGCTGAATGGGCAATGTTTGCTCTCCCCAGTCACGCCTGGGGTGCTCTGCCACGGTGCAGCAAGCCCCAGATAACCTCAGCTCATGCAAGGCAGGGCATCTGGAAGCTCCCAGAGGCAGCTGGTGACCAGGTGCTGTCCCTGCTCTGCATGACGGCCTCAGGCAGAAGGGCTGCATGTACATGAATTATAATAACTCTCATGACCATAGCACCTCCTGCAGTACTGAAATACCTTTTTTACAAATTAGTCAACGTTCAGGAAGAGACTATGAAAGAAAAAAATCCCCTCATATTCAAGGAAACAAGGCAGTACTCACCCCCACCAAGAGCATCTCCTAAATGTAGGTCATTGTCTGAAAATAAATAGGAGGAAGATATAGAAAAGTGAGTTACACACAATTCTTGAGGGAAATGAAACATTATTTTCATTAGAATATGTACAACTGCATGTTTGACAAGCACCTTTTTCAAGTCGGTGCCACAAATTCAAATAACTTATCACACTTTTCTTGAAAACTCTGACTCTAACATTAGAGTCACACTAATTGACAAATAGCAGAGTATTTTCTACTCAAAATACAAAGTTTTTTCCTGTTTTAAATGATGTCAAACTAAATTTTACAGATGAATCAAGATCAATACCTCTTTAATATACAAAATTAAAATTAGCTGGTTATAATATGTAACTATACCCATTTTTAAATATACTTCTTTTGATGCTTTGTGAAGGCTGAACTAGAACAGAGACAAGACAGAGCTAAAGACTAAAGCAGGTGTTTATTAAGAGGCCTCGATGGAGACACCCTGGGCAGCACACCGCAAATGGCCACAAAAAATGGATGACCGGTCCAGTGGTCTCACACTTTTATAAGTTTTGGTCCATTAGCATATGGGAACTAATGTCCAATTACAGCTTTAGCCCATGAAGTCCCATCCTTCTTATTTTTCTCTTTTCTGTCCATCACTGTTTATGCTCTTTGGCCTGAGATCTGGATCGGCTGTCCTTGGGTCCCCAGCTAGAGAAGGAATTTTTTGTCTACCTAGTCTGTGAAGAGACGTTACTATCCCCTAATAAAAAGCCTAGACTTACACACTAAAGCAGAACAGAATCTGAAAAATATAAAAACTAAACCTGAGCTATCATAATTATTAACATTTATGTCTGTGGTTAAAATTGGTATATGTATTCTTGGCTCAAGTAGAATTTATTGAAGTACTAAAACTGAATATCCATTTCAAGAGCAAATACTAGGGAGCAATAAACCTACTTGGGGAGATATTGAATCAAATATCTATGTAAGGGTCACAATGACCCCTTCCTTCAGGCAATTATATACACCTGTCTGAGGCTGGGAGACTGTCTGTTTTTATTTGCTTGAGCTATAAAGATTTTTAGATCTAATTAAACATCCATATGTGAAATTTACCCAGTAATTCACCAGGCCATGACCATTACCCAGCACCATACATGTGTCTCACTTTGTATCTGGTACAGAATCTTTCCATGCAACAAAAATTTGTCCATGAGCTGCAGATGGGTAAGGAGAAACTGTTTCTAACACCAGGTGTGGATATGAGTATTTGGGTGGTATTTTAAGAGGTGTATGGAATGATGGAGGATTCTGAAAGAAATACATTAGATGGATGGTATAACTCCAAGAATCCCTTTCTTGATGCACATATGTGTGGAGTGGTGCAGTGAATCAGAAGAAAAGGGATAGCAAAACCTATCTAAATTTTTGTAACCATGCTTGTTGCCACAGGCAACTAGATAGACTCTCAATTAAACAAATATTTTTTTCATTATAGATGTGTCAGAATTCCTGAAACACAGGAAAATCACCATGCAGAAATCTGATTTCTTCTGTTCTTTATACCTAGGAGGGTGGGAAGCTGCTTTTGCACACTATCTAGTCTCATCTGGGTAACATCTCAGAAGTGCTTTGATGTCACCAGGAAATCTGGCAGGAAAAAAATAAACAAATTCATAATACATTACTTGGTTTTTACTTGTCAGGAGTAGGTCCTCCCTGTGTCTGCCCAGCAGTGTTGCATTTTAAAAATACATTTACCTGTCAAAAGTTAACACTGTAAGAAGCAATAAATTGAAAATTGGATTCAATTTATTATTGACATGAAGAATTCAGGAAAAACACAAATTCTTCTCTGGAGGTTTCATATAGAGATTTGATGCAGAATTGCTCAGGTTGATATGAATGTAATAAAAATGGAAATGCATGTGTGTGTTGGGACCACAAAAACCAGCAAAATGTTAAAAGAACAGATTAAAGGTTAATGTTCCCAGCAGTAAAATTGAGGAATGTGTTGTTTCTGTCAAAACCAGCAGGCCTATGCTCTGATGACAGCAGAGATGACTTGTCAGCAGACAAAAAGCATAAAGGCATTCTAAAACCAAAGGTTGCAGCATATCACTACTATTCTGATTGTCACCCAGAAAATAAGTCTGTGCATATAGCCTGTGAACTCTGAACAAGTAAAAAAAAATATATAGTAGGCAGCAACCTGACCAAGGGTTCAGAGACTCTGGAGTGAGAAATATTATGAGGCAAAGGACCTCTCTATCATACCTGATTACTCCTAAAGGATATAAAAGATCTGTGGATTCTACTTGTCATTTCTGATCAAGAAGAAGCACAGAGACAGGATAAGAGCTCAGCACCTGGCAAGCTTTGTCTCCTGTTGCACATGATGCTCATCAGACCACCTAAGCACACACATCTTGGTGCTCGTGAGCATGGGGGTGTGAGGGTATGGCTGAATTAAACAGAATGCAGGAACAGTGTGAGTGGGTAAACATCAAATTATGTTGAAATTTTGTAGATAAACTTTACTTTCCATTAATTTTTCCTTAACCATGAATTTGCTACACTAGGGAGATGCCTACAGGAGAGCTTCAACTCAGGCAGAGGTGCATGGGATTCCCAGAGGACACATCCTGTAACAGGCATCAGCTGAACAAAAATCTCAGTGAGCCTCACTTCTGAAGGAGACATAGAGGAAATCCTGAAGTTAGGATGAAACATTAAGCAGATGCTAGAACATATTTTTGAACATCCTGCACTTTCCAAGTCCAATAATTGATTTGTAACACTGTGATCTTGGGTTTTCTAATAAGTTTTAATAGCTTTTTTAAACTTTCTGCAATGCTCTGTAGCACTGAAAGAAACTCTGAAATAGTCTGGAAAACATGGGGTTCTTCCTGCCCAAAAATTAGTGAAGTGGATTTGGTTAGGGTAGATATTCATCTGATGTTCAGATCTCTAACAGATTTAGAAGTCCCTAAAAATAAAAATTACTTTCACCTGACTGAGGCAGCTTGAGTGAAGATATTGGCACCCTAGGCTACCTTTAAACATGACCAAGGATACAGTATTTTAGGGCACAATTCAAATAACTTGAATTGTTTACATTAGGATGGGAATAAATCCATATTTAGTGTAATATTTTAGAACAGACAGATGCTTCTAATCTAGGCCAGACACAAATTTTGTTTGCCAAATGAAGTGGGAAGGAAGAATGCAGCCATTAAAGTATACAATAGCTACTACTTTCACAAAATACTCCCCCTGTATGTTCAAAGAGGGAGCCGGAAAATTGTATGGGAAATGTCACTAATTTCATGCACCTAAAATCTTATTTCAAAATTTGTCCAGAAAAAGACCTGAAGTTGCTGGGTTTTTCTTATCTAGCATTATTTTCCAAGCACTTTGTTTGGTAGACAGAAAATTATTCAAATGCGGTTTAGGTGAAAATGAAAAAAAATCTATGTTGTCATAAACTGTTCCATTACAAATGCAATTTTGTTCTTGTTTGGAATTTGGATTTTTTCAACGTTAACAAGTGTTCATTGGAATTCATTGTTTGGCATTCTCAGGACTACAGCTCTCCACTGTTCAGAGCCTTTTTTCCTTTCTGACACAGGTGGTTGTAGCAATCAATACTAGATTATATGAATCAAATACATGGTGAGAAGAAAGAATAGCTCCAGCTTTGTTCTGATTCTTTTCCAACTCTGTTATCAAGCACCATGAATAAATATACACAAAAATAAAGATAACAGGGAAAAAAGTAGAGGAACAGTTAGCCAATTTTAGCAAAAGCTGCCCATTGTTATACTCCACAGGGAGTTCAGAACAAAAAAGGGTGAAGAAGGCCTTCAGGAAATAAAATACTATCACTAGACAGCCATGCTCAATTTCCTCATTGGAAGCAGTAAAAACATGTAATTGATAATTATCAAAAGAGCACTTATTTTACTTTAAGAAAACAACTGTCATTCACACATTATCTCAACTAAAGCACAGCAGCAAATATTATAAAGAACCTCATATGAAAGTTTCCTACAAATACAATATCAGTTTTTTGAACCATTATTTATTACTCACTGAACACAGGTCTTGTTGGTCTTCGGATCACTGTAGGCTTCCTGGTAATTATGTCATCTGTTGAACACAATGACATGCCAATAAACATTAACAGCTTCAACTTAACAAAAGCAGGTATGTGCAAATGTAGAGAGCTGCAGAGATTTATTTCAATAAATCTTAATGTACCATAGCAGAAGCCAAAAATGAAGGAATATGATATATAGTTTTCAAAGCTATTTTTTTGTTTGTTTGTTTTAAAGAAGATTTTTCATTTCATGATAGAAACATTGAAATTTAGCGTTCTTTAGTTCTGTCAATCCTTAACAGAAATAGTAGCCACTTCATATTCCATTCCTCAAGGAAAAAGACTTAAGATTTATTATTAGATGTAAATGCCATACTAAAATAAGGATAGAAAATTTACATACCAGGGTGATCAAGGGCATCAGCTAAATCAAAATCATGTTGACCTAAAAGGAATGTGACAGAAGACACTAAGTCAGCAGGCAGGTTTCCATGATCTCCAGACCTGAGTGCTCAGTACAAAGCCAGAACACCAGTAAAGAGGCAAAAGAAAGACCCATCCAAAGAGCAGCAGGCACAGAACAAGCTGTCAGCTATCATCCCTGCACAGCACAGTCCTGAATGATTGTGAGAGATGGGCTCATTTAATCCAAGGAATTTATTTGTTCAGGTAGGCCAAAGAGAGGCTGCTCACTCGTGTTATCATATTCAACTGCTGTGCAAACACCCCTTGAAGAACACAGGATGCCAGTTAGAGAGCACTGGACTGTTGCCAGGAGACAGCTGAAAGCAGCATTCAGCATAATACTTGTGAACCAAAATCATTAGGTGAGAATTTTTAATATCTTCATTATTGTTTTACTGGTTCAGCTTAGCAAGCAGCTTTAGTGTCAAGCCTTGTGATCACTTGCAACAAAAATCAACAGTTTTTTAATGTAACATGGGCCATAAATAAAAGATATTAAGAGGTGTTTATCTAATTTAGTTTCCTCTGTAAATTAAAATATCTGAAAATGGGAGAAAAATTCTTCCTGTTCTCCGTTAGATGACAACAATATCTTTGAATGCCACAGCAGAGTAATTAGCATCTGTAGTTTTGAAGTGAGCAGGCAAGGAAAACTGGAAAATATTTAAAATGTATAAACTGAAATAGATGACTTTGAACTGAACACACATGGTTATTCATGTGAGTTTTACTTTCAACTCTAGAATCTGCCACTTTCCTTGTAATATACAGGCTTCATGAAACATGTTTGCAGAATATGTATCCACTGGTTTTCATCCTTGTGTTTGCATTCTGAGCATAGGATCAGCCTACACAAACCCACAAAAAGTCGTGACATGCTATGACTTCTCTAAACAGAAATGCATTACTGTGCTCTGTTGAGTAAGCCTCAAGCTGCACTTGATCTGCATATGTTTATTATCCCTTCTAAAAGGCTTAATACCTAACTGTTCATTAAGGAGTTTTTCTTGGCAAGTCTTGAACACTTCACAGCAAGAAAGGCATCACTGTTCAAGTGAAGAAGCTGAGGAACAGAGAGAGGCTGCCAGAGGTTTGTCAGCACAGCAGTGCTCAGGGTTCAGCTCAGCTCCTTCATCTTGACAGGTCCTGTACATCTTCATGGCATTCTTCTCATTAATCACTGTTCCTGAATAATAGCTCTTGCCTGTGTCAAAGAGCTTCCAGAAAGATTAATGATCAGTGGTGAAACACTGTGTGATCTTCAAATAACAGTCAGCACAGGAATATAAAGTAGAAATGTTTTGATTCCCACAAGGATTTTAATGTAAGTCTGTGAACTTAATTATAGTTGGGGTCTGATGGAAGAGATAAAACAAGGCTGGAATGCAAAGTAGGAATGGCTTCTAAAGCAAAACTGTCCCAATAAAATATTAAGAGAAATATAAGTAAGTAAAACCTTGTAACCACAAGACTTTCCCACTAATGTTAGCAGAGTGGTAAGTTATCTATTAATTATTTGATTTGTTCTTGGAGTGTTGCCTCACCTGGCCACCTCTCCCTCCTCTGCCCTGGCCCCTCAGCCAACATTGCCAAGCCCAGTAACTTTTGGGTTGGGTCTTCAGGTGGATAATATTAATGGAATTATAGAACCACAGAATGGTTTGTGTTGGAAAGGACCTTAAAGACCATCTATTTTCCACTCTCACTGCCATGGGCCGGGACACCTTCCACAAGACCAGATTGTTCAGTGACATATTCAACCCTGAACACTTCCAAAAACGGGGTATTCACAACTTCTCTGGACAACATGTTCCAGTGCCTCACCACACTCATAAAAAAACCCAAGTCTTCCTAATATCTAATTTAAAACTACCCTCTTTCAATTTAAAGCCATTACTAAAACCATAATCTAAGACTCTGACAGGTTTTAAAATATTAATCCATTAAATACATGAATCTATAAAATAAACAAGTTGCTTCATAAGAACTGTTTGAGCCCTGAGTGCATCACCAGCTCTTACCATCCCTGAACTTCTGCCCATGGGCTGTCACCCCAGCCATGGAATCCTCTGATCTTGATGCAGACACGCTATGCACAGGCAGACATCCTGGCATTGCCTTGACTTATATATGGTCAAATTATATTTTTCTGAAGCATTTCTTCAGTGCCAGGAGTACAAGCAATATAAGCTTGACAGTCCTTTGATTTTGACCTCTGGCAAAATCCTCATTTTTGATCAGCATTCTGAGTATTGGAGGAGCCTGTCTGACCTGAACCTCATTGCCTCAGGATACCATAATAAATGGCTAAAACCATTTCTTGTTGGAGTGAGTTATCAGGAATAATTTTGCAACCATAATCAGAATAAGAGCCAGGAGAAATAATTTTGTAGTAAGGAAGAGCCGCTGGCCAAACCAGCTTCTTTGTTACAGGTCATGACAAGCAGGAACTAACAATACAGAAACCAACTACCGAGGTCCTAATGCTGTAAAGAGAATGTGATAAAATCATCTTGCAAAGAAAGACTGTGGAAAACTTTCAAGTAGAATATTTCTTTGAAGTTCAGGAAAAATAAAAATAGAAGGTGGAATCGAATCAGATATGAAATTCAAGCACGATGATGCAGATGGCTTTCAGTAGCATGAGAATTAAAGCAAAACAATGGACTGAAACATTTACTGACACCTACCCTTCTTCTACACAATACCAACATTTCCCCCTCCTATTGTTATGTTTGTTCTGTTGTGGAAAAGGTGTGAAAAGGCAAAAGGTGTTGTTTTGAGACTTCAAGGGAGAAATAGAAGAAAGCTATAGAAATTTTAGTAAGAGAAAAATGAAGATTGAAAATCTCCTTCAGCAATTATTCAGATTGATTTTTTTAAAAAATATTTCTGATTATAGACCAAGAAATAAAAAGAAAAGGACACCAACTCAGAATGACTGCTTGGGAGTAAGACAGAAATCCACAGTGAAATCTCTTTGACTGCGTAGATATAAACCTTGACAGATGGGCAGTTTGTATGAGGACATCTGTGCATCATGGTAAATTATACTGCAATAAACCAAAAGTCCTCTGCCTGGACTTTGATGCCAACTTCCTCTGATAATAACATAAAATGACCACAAGGAGTAAGATTTTGTGGAGCAGAATTTTAAATGCTCATTACCATTCCTGAGACTGCTTCTAGACATTTTTAAGAATCTAACTGAAGGAGAATAGTTGGTTTAATAGCAGAACAGCTCAGACTTTACCTACAGCATGGTTGGTCTAACAACAAAACCACATTAGAGTCTCAGAAAATATTTAGCTCAAGACGAGCTGCATTCAGAGAACTCTGAAGATAAATGACATGGGAAATAAATTAGTGAAGCTCTCCACAGAAAAAAAGAGACTGAAATAAATTAATTTTCCA